AGGAGGTATCCAGCAATGAAGTTCATTCCCTAAAAAGGCAACAAGCGATTCATTTCTGCAGCCTACTGATTTGAATGCAGACGGGTACAATGGGTTCAGTCATTATATTAACAGGGTAAACAACACAAAATTACAGCAGTTTAAGAGTGTCTTACTTCCTCACTCGTTATAATTGACTATTCTCTAATATACACACAACAAACGTTTTAGATTCTCATCTACAGTAGGAACTTAAATACATCCTGGGTTCAAGTGACACTTTCAGTGGCCATGTGTGTAAAAGGGCTTGTGTACATACCTGACAGTAACCAACATCCTTATTGTGGTGTCCATAAGCCAGAAGTACATTAAACAGGGCTTTTTGTAAACATGGCTGGGAGGAGGCACGGAACTGAATGTTGTCAGGGAAGGTTCTGTGCATATCTAAAAAAATAAATAAATAAATTTGATTCTCAGAAATATTTTTTTCCCATATGTCCTGTTCAGATGATTTAAAATCAGACTTTTAAATAAAACATGGTTTCATGACAGGAGAAATAACTTACCAGCATGTATAACCTCTTCTATTTTAGGGTCATGCTGAGCCTTTAGTATAGAATGATAGTAGCCAGGATTTCTCTCCAACCGGTCCTGAGCTCCACTAGCTGCCATCCAGATCTGAGTGCGATTTTCAAATGGAACCCCCTTCCTCACATAACGCTTCACTGCAAACCCAAATAACAGCTTTAAAAAGTGAATAAAAACTTCATCCGTTATGTGTCAATTCAATAAAATAAAATAATTAAATTAAATTGCCTACCTTTCACGTTATTCTCCACTTTTACAGTGCCCTGCAAAAGTTTCGACCACTTCTTTGACCTTCTAGTAACAACAGCTAAATGCTTGGACATCAGATCCTCATAGGATTCATAGCTGAAATCTTCTGATCTTTCAAATCCATATTGGTCTACCCTACAGACACATAAAGACTTGTTTTAAACTTGTGGGAATACTGTTAAAGAAGAATGTAATAGACACACCATAACATTCTGAAGCTAAAACAAGACGAGTTCATTATTATTTTCTTTACATGACATTTTCTGAAATGTCTTTTACTTGTTTAAGTGTTCATATTGACAATGACGCAGACATCACCTGACGCACAGGTGTTTTGGACCATCTCGTGGCGACCGTTCCACTATCCTTAATATAGCGATTGGTATTTCATAAGTAACATCACTTCATCATAGTAATATAAAGTCACGTTCATACCTCTGGCAGTCGTTGCTTTCTGAACTGGCGGAACATTCCGTGCTTTGATCATTAAAATGATTCTCCATGTAGAGTTCAGAGCGTCTCTTCATTCGAACACCATGAGCTGAGCTCTTTATATAAACTCCTCCCCTACACTGAAACCTGTCATATATTTTACCTTGCGTATTACCTGTTTAATTTTATAGTGTGTAGCTGTATTGTTAAGTCTATTCTTTTTACTCGACGTTTTAACCATTTGAAATATTTGTTTTGAGTTGAAACTTAGGTCGTTAGTTTCTAAATAATTTATGCAGTTAATTAGATCTACTGTAAACATCCCAGCAGGTGATTGGATGGTTGGAAAGCTATGAAAATACTGGGTAAACACTAGCGGTGGGCAGAGCTAGGCTTCATGAAACACTGAAACAGTCGAAGCAAATGTGCCGAGGCTTCGAAACAATTCGAAACTCGTCTCTACGGTGACACCTAGTGGTTATTTTCAAGTATTGCTCTGAAACAGCACTGGCTACATTTACACGCAACCAAATAATCCGTTTGTAATCGGATTGACGGCTCAGTCGGATTGAAAAGCCTTCATGTAAACACCTTAATCGATCCGATTGAGCTCGATCGGAATGAAATTTCGATCCGATTGAAGGGGGGTGGTTTATTCCTTTTCAAATACGATTGAGAGTGCATGTAAACACTCGATCGGATTGAACCCCGAAACTGAAAGGACTGCGCATGTGCAATGATGCAGAAATAGCGTAATGACGTAAATGGCGTAAATGAGCCTAACCAGCGGTTCTTCCTTTTGAATAAAGTGTTGTATAAATGCGTGCCCTGTCATCTTAAAACTCTCCTTTCACTCGGCAACTGTGAAGTGGAGCAGGACAACCTCCCACCAGTCCTTGTTTTGGATTCTCATCCACAGGCAACCAGTTTTGGGCGCGGGGAGGGGCATTTTTTACTGCGTGATAAATATGAGCAGCACAGCACAGCGGTTTATATGTTTATTTATCCATAAATGAATAGAAACTCTATACGGTTAAGTCGTGACATAACCACTCTATTTCCGGGTCCAAAGTCCGGGTCCTCTACCTACTAGGGGTGTAACGATTCATCGATATGGATCGATACATCGATATGATATCTGACGATACGATGCATCGATGCCACACGTAAAATATCGATATCTGTAGTATAAAGAAGAGGCTAGACGTCACGCGTGACGTCAGACTTAACAACCGAATATTTGTGCAGTGTGTGCATGTCCAAAAAAAATCTATTCCGATTTTAAACTTGTGACATATAAACGCGCACATCAACCCGATCACTTTATTTAGCGCTCATGTAAACACTACATTCAGATTCATCAATCGGAATGAGTTTAGTCCGATTGAACCAAAAATTGTGCATGTAAACGTAGTAAACGTAAATCAGTTAAGTGAACTGATGAATTATAACATATATGTTGTGCTTGTCATCTTACCATATGGGTCGGGGGAGTGGTTAGTGTGCACGATTGGCATGTTGTCAAAACCTATCACTTTAGGTCCGAATCCTGGGTATAGCATGTATATAATTATATTAAACATTTGAATGTTGTGTTTTTATTTTTCTGTTCTTGTAATGTGTTGTAACATCTCTCTGACAACTGAATGAACTCTTTGTGAATATGTTATTTTGGTCATGAAAAAATTTACATTAATAAAAGACATCAAGCCACAACACCAGGGCTGCGTTCAGCCCCGACAAAAACGGTGCAAAACGTTTTTTAAACGGAAACGGTGGTGCGTTGAACACCCTGTTCTGATGACGCAAGAGTTGCAGCTATGGCAGCTGAGAAGGCCATTCTTTGTGTTCTTTTTGAAGAATTTTCGGAGCCTGATGAAATCAGTATAAATACGTGTTTAATACTGCAAAATACGCTGGATGTTACAGTCACTGCCCTTGCCGTCCAGAATAAAAGAGAACATCCCAATCAAATGAAGGGATTTGTGGAAACGTGGTTCCTAATTATTGTGATCCAACATTTGCCTCGCATTTCAGACAAACAAAGACTAAAAAGACAAACATTTCAGGTGAAGGATAATCCACTTCTTACCTCCAAGACTGTGTTATTATGATCTATATGACCTTATTATTTTTATTGTGAGTATTAGGCTTATCATTATTGCTGATCACTGTTGTTGTGCTATGATATTGTAATATTTACCATTATATAATCAGAGGGGTATAGAAAAGTTTATTAACGTGTCACTCCACAATACAATAGCAAAATATATAAATATGTATAGTATTTTTATGTTACATTAATCAGTATTTAGCACACCTTCCTAAGGAAAGGATATGGACCAGAAGACATTGCAATTACTAAATGATATTTAGACAGACTGAAAGAAGTTCCAGATCTATACTTGTGCCCTTATTATTTCAGTATGTAATGTAGTAATGTAAATAAACATGTGCAAACAATATACTTGCTCTTGTGAATTTATTTGGATGTTAATTACATTGTGCGAGCTGTCTCTTTAATACCGCGTGGTTTATATACATGTTGCTGCTGATTGGGCTGACATGTTTGACACACCCACCAAACAAGAGAAAACGCATCTCAAACCCCGCTGCACACCGTTTCCAGGAAACATGTCGTTCAAACCGGAAACCGTAGCAAAACAGTGCACACCGGTTTGAGCTTGAACTTGCCCCTGGTATTTTTTTTTTACATATAAAGATTTTTATTTAAATATATTAATTGTTCTGCTGCATTAACACTTTTATACTTTGCGGGAGATAGATGTGCGATTGTGTGGTTTGTTCCCTACTCTGTCGATCAAAAGCAGATTCGGGTCTCGAAATACTTGTGAAAAGCCCCGATGCTTTGATTCGCCTTAGTCACGTGACATGGGTGTTTCGAATCACACTTCGGAGCAGTGTTTCGAAACATCTGCGCTTCGCGTCAGCCATCCCTAGTAAAGACCAACCCTATTAGAGATATTATTATATTAAATTACCTATGATATAATAATTTAATAAACAGTTAGTCATATATTTATTATATATTTTTTTAATTATTTATTTATTAATGAATTGCACCAATATTTATCACTTGGTTTCACTTTTGACTACAGTAACCAACCAATACTGATTAGATGTATTGATTAGATCTATAAATAAAACTGCATGCAAAAATAACTCAAACATAACATTTAAAACATTTGAATAAATGTGGTTTTGGAATAACATTATTATTTTGGTAAAGTATTTCATCAAAGACTATAGAATATTTAAAGGGACTTTGATTTCATCCATAATTTTTCGTTCTCTCTCGATATGATATTTAGTTTTCAGAAGTCCTGTTAAGAATGAAAAAAAACAAAACCCGAATAGCACTAAAGTTGTTTGAGAAAAATAATTAGCATACATTTCGTAACATTAACTAGTTTTATTTTGTCATCCTTGATGTATTAAAAAATACAAATACATTCCAAACCGGATATTCTTTCGGGCCGTGTACCTTGGCAAAATAAAGGTCCCCTAAGCTTTCCCTACTCAGCAGCTACTGTTGCATAAAATGTTATTTGACTCCTCATAGACACAAAACGTATTTTGAAAAATTAAGTTAGTCTTCCGTTTTTATGTACTGTGAAAGAAATATAACGAAAATAAAACAAATCTAATCTTTTTAAAATCACATTTTTGGCTTTTAGACCTTTATTTTAAATAATTTATCCAGCGCCATTTAGGGAAAGAAGAGGTTTGTTTCCTGCTTCAGCTCCAGTGGGTGATGGCGGGGCTCCATCTCTCCACATCTTAACATGTTACAGACTCATTTCTTCTTTTCTCCATGGGTTGAAATCGTTTCCGCCACCTATAAACATTAGGACGAACGTGTAATAATATTCTTTCGAACTAGTTTGCGGTAAACGCGAGTGGAAAGGGTCGGATCCGTGGCCGTTCATCGCTACCGTTGTATTTTAAAATGGCTCCAGTTCAAATCGGTTCGGACGGGCAGCTGGTCCCCGCCGGGGGTCCGACCTCAGCCCCTCAGCCTCCGCCGGGAGCCCCGGCCACTCAAGGAGTCCGGCTGAGCCTCCTGATCGAGTTTCTGCTGCAGCGAACCTACCATGAGATCACTCTCCTGGCTGAACTGTGAGTTCATCAGAGATCAGACCTGTTCTGGTTGTGTTGAATGGTCATTGGGCAGGCATGTTTAAATAAAGTTAGATGTAGTTTAGCAGTGGCCCTTATGCTTCCTTGAGAAATGTTTTGCTTTGCAGATCATGTCAGCTCATGTATAAATCTTGATTTTTAAGTTGGTAGAGATTATATTGGGGTGTATAAATTATGTGGGGATGTTGCTGCAACTCTTGCTGACCCATGTATGACTTCTTACCTGGCTATGTTTATTTGGTTATCCACATCAAATTTGTCTTGGCAAAGTAATATTTTAACATGAAGCTAGTTTATTTGAATGGGGCTTCAGTGGTGACTCTCCGTTTATAACAGCCTAGGTGAATTTATGGTGGATATGGCGGGTGACGGGTTAAGTTTTATCTATGGAACAAGTCTATTGATATCAAGTATATTGTAATTGCTATAATTAGAGCATATATGGAGAAACATATTTTCTTGTTCTGTGGCCTTTATGAATCTTTATTTTACTTCTTCCAAGTTGTCTAGATGTAAAATGTTTTGTGCTGTCATTTGATATTGATATTATTTAATCTTACCTTTATGATTTTTACAGACTTCCTCGAAAAACAGACATGGAAAGGTAAGAAACTGCCATGGAGTTTCCACTTAGATTCTCAAAAACATGAATGCAATTTGGTTACACCAGGGGTTTTCAAATGACGGCCCCAAGGCAGTGCCAGGGGTTCACGGAAAAGTTTAGAGAAAAAAAGGTAAAAAGAAATGTTTACTAATTTATTTACTTAGATTAAAATAAGGAAGTAAATGACTGGATGTATGAATAAATAAATAATAATAAAGTACACTACTATAATGAACAGAAAAAAAAACAATTGCAATAATGTTATTTATTTTCCAAATAATATTTTAGACATATTGATAACATAAATTTTTTACAATACAAATTAGGTCTTTATACACACAACTGTATATATGCCTTTTTTAAATTTTAAGATGGGGGTCCCTCACATGATTTGAGGGTCCTTGGCTTCTAAAAGATAGAAAACCCCTGAGTTACATTATGCTTGCATATGAATGTAACTGACTTAAACCATATCTTACAGGAAAATTGAAATCGTTCAGTTTGCCAGTCGGACACGGCAGCTCTTTGTACGTCTGCTTGCTCTTGTGAAATGGGCAAGTAATGCTGGGAAGGTGGAGAAATGTGCGGTACGTGATTTATTTTGCGCTTCCAATCGGAGTTATTTTCGTTCTTGTTGTTGTAGTCCTCATTCTTAGCTCTGTTTGCAGATGATCTCATCATTTCTGGATCAACAAGCCTATTTATTTGTTGACACGGCTGACCGACTGGCATCACTGGCCAGGGACGCTTTGGTGCATGCACGTTTGCCTAGTTTTGCCATCCCTTTCGCCATTGATGTACTGACCACAGGGTCTTACCCACGTCTGCCCACATGTATCCGAGTGAGTAGTCAAACACAGTGTTCAAGAGCTTAAAGTGGATATTATAAATGGGAAATAAACAGCAATGGTGTTATTTTTTCAGGACAAAATTATTCCTCCCGACCCTATAACCAAAGCAGAGAAGCAGACCACGCTAAATCAGCTGAATCAAATCTTGCGACACAGACTAGTCACCACTGACTTGCCCCCACAACTGGCAAACTTAACTGTGGGTAAGTTACAAGCTCCACATATCTACTGGGGATTTTGCCCTGGAATAAGTATGTTTCCAAACATTTTTCTGCTATATTTTCGGTGTGTTTTATTCTGATTATAAATGATCTTACTTGTTTCTATGATCTCTTTGCCTGTGAAGCCAATGGGCGAGTAAAATTTCGAGTTGAGGGGGAATTTGAAGCCACACTGACAGTGATGGGGGATGATCCTGATATCCCTTGGAGACTTCTTAAACTAGAGATTCTAGTTGAAGACAAGGAAACTGGAGGTAAGATGTACTCAGTGTGTAATAATAAGACCCCTGTGCATGTACCCTTGTTTTCCTTATCTTTTATTTAAATATGTATAAAATAAATAAATATATATTTTTTATATATTTATATATTTTTTATTTATTTACTCTACCGTTCAAAAGTTTGGGGGTGGTAAGATTTTTTCAAATGTTTTTAAAAAGACTCTCTCTTATACTCACCAAGGCTGTTTATTTGATCAAAAATAGAGTAAAAACTGTAATGTTGTGAAATATTATTACAATTTAAAATATCTGATTTGTATTTTAATATATGTTAAAATGTAATTTATTTCTTGGATGGAAAAAAAACATTGTAAATTGTAAAATTTTAGCAGCCAAATACTCCAGTCTTCAGTGTCACATGATCCATCAGAAATCATTCTAATATGCTGATTTGGTGCTTAGGAACTACTTATTATTATCAACAGTTTTCCTGTGTAATATTGCTGTGGAAAACATGATACATTTGTTCTGGCTGCTTTGATGAATAGAAAGAAAGAACAGCATTTATTTGAAACTGGGGCTGCACAATTAATCGAATTTGCAATTACAATTACGGATGCCACAATTACGTAATTGTTCAAAGTGGCAATTAATTGTTCAAAGTCCACTTATGTTATTCTGCATGCTTAAGATGTTTTTCTTTCTTTCTACAGGTTATCTTTAGGGTTTTTCCATTGTTTCATTTTAGTTTTAGTATAACATAATACCATTCATATTTTGACTTTTTTTTTATTTAAAGAAGAAACTAATTCAATGTTTAGTTGACATTTGAGGCGTAATACTATAGAAAAGCAATAAAAGTTGTTCAGTTTGAGTGTTTTCAGCTTGTTTATTTTCATATAAAAATACGGCATGCAGTTGCTTCAAACAATGGTATTAACATCATTCAGTGTAAATTGTGATAATCGTAATTAATAATCGCAATTACAATTGCAAGGGAATAATCGACAATGATTATGATTTTTGTCATAATCATGCCGCCCTATTTGAAGCAAATCTTTTGTAACAATGTAAAAGTCTTTACTGTCACTTTTGATCAATTTAAGGCATCCTTTTAGTTTATAATTATAAAAATGTATTAATAGTTATTAATTAATAGATGTTTTAAAGTACTACTAATAAGTATTAATATATGATTTATTTAGATGGACGGGCATTGGTACACAGCATGCAGGTGAATTATATCCACGAGTTGGTGCAGTCTCGACTGTTTGGAGATGACAAGCCTCTTCAGGACATGTACAACTGCCTCCGTATCCTTTCAGATCAAGACTAAGATTGGTTTCTGTGATTTAGTAGAACGTTTGATTGGTTGCTCAATTAACAGCCCATGCTTGGGGTTAAAACCATAGCTTTTGTTTAACTAGCCCAGATATTTTGCAATACACTACTAGTCAGTTTAGACACATCTACTCATTTTTATAATCAGTATTTTCCAGAATACTTTTGGAATAATAGTCAAGTCAGCAAAACTATTAAATGGAAGTTTAGTTAAAAAAAAGTGACAAAAAGCAAACAAATCGAAATTGTTTCCTTAATGAATGGTATTAGACTCATTTTGCCTATCACTGCAGCTGGAGGTGTTGCACTCTCAAACTCTGATGTTGATCAGAGAACGGTGGGGTGATCTAGTGCAGGTGGAGCGCTACGTCCCTGCCAAGTGCTTCACGTTGTCTGTCTGGAAGTAGGTTTGAAAATTTGCTACAGAGATTTAATTGAATTTTTCTCTTTTGGTTTTGCATCTCATGATTTTTGCCTTGCAGTCAACAGGTCCTGGGTAGAAAGACTGGCACAGCATCTGTGCACAAGGTCACCATCAGAATTGATAAGACAGATGGATCCAAGCCATTACAGATCTCCCATGAGCCTCCACTCCCTGCCTGCGATTCCAGATTAATGGAAAGAGCCATGAAGGTGAGTATCATTGGTTAAAATAATCTCTTTTGTTGATAGTAGCATTGATAGCTCCATAACGACGATCATTGTATGGGCTTTTCTTAGATTATATATGCTGCCATTCAAAAGTTTGGGGTCTGTGGGAAATTAATACTATTAATTTATTCAACAAGGATACATTAATTTGATCAAAAGTGATAGTAAAGACATTTGTAATGTTAGGTTTTTGTTAGAACTTTTTATTCTTATAGGAATCCTTTATTAAGCAGTACAACTGTATCAACATTGATAATAATAAGAAATGTTTCTTGAGCACTGAATCAGCATATTAGAATGATTTCTGATTGATCATGTGACACATAAGTTTGGAATAACGGCTTCTCACATAAGTGAAGCTTTTTTCAAAAACATAACATTTTTTTTACCAACCCCAAACTTTTGAATGGTTCTGTATAATAACTGTAATGAGGATAAAAGCTTATGTTTGTTTGTGGGCTGTTCTTTCAGATTGATCATCTCTCGGTTGAAAAGCTTTTGATCGATAGTGTACATGCCCGCTCGAATCAGAAACTGCAAGAACTCAAAGCCATCCTAAAAAGTAGTAACCCTAGTGATAACTGTGAGTATTTTACACCACAAAGATCTTCACCATGATTGTGCTTGCTGCGTTTATTAATTTTTTTTCAAAGATGGAATATAATGTTTTGCCTACTGCTTGGTTACTAAATTGATTTACAACAAATAAGGAAAAAATTACGAGAGGCTGTGTTATATTGTATAGGGAAGCAAATCTCAAAATGATCTATTTTCATGCTGTTATTATTGATATTGTAAATAAAATAATATTGTGCGCATTTAAAATGATAATTTATTTTATATTTTATTTTTGAATGTTCTTTATCTTCATTTTGTATCGTTCTTCAACTAGAAAACATCAAAAATCTAAATCAATTGTTTATTTTATATGCATTAAAAGGATTCATTTTGTGTGTTTATTTTTCAGCCTTCATAGAGACTGCACTGCCCACACTAGTCATACCAATACTGGAGCCCTGTGGCCGATCTGAGTGCCTCCACATATTTGTCGATTTGCATTCGGGAATGTTTCAGCCAATGCTTTATGGAGTCGGTTAGTCACATATCCATTGGATACACATCAGATCATTTGAACAAATCAACTGCTTAACTTGCCTTGCTTGTTTCTTTCCAGATCAGTCAATGTTGGACGATGTTGAGAAGAATATTAACGATGACATGAAGCGCATCGTCACATGGTTACAACAGCTAAAGTAAGCAGTCAAGCTACCTGTTCTTGGTGTGTTTCAAGTTGTGACAGTGGCTGATGTTGTTATGTTTTTAACAGATTCTGGTTGGGCGAGCAGAGATGTCGACAGTCTGTGAAACATCTTCCCACACTGTGCACAGACACTCTCCACCTATCTAACTTAACCACGCATCCTGTGGGCAACCTGTCAAAACATCGCCTCTTCATCAAACTCACCCGCCTCCCACAATACTATATTGTAAATACTTTAATATTTAATGTATTTATCTCACACATAAAGGCTTTTGTGTCAACTTGAAACATTTCATTAAATCTCGACTTTCCTCAGGTGGTCGAGATGTTTGATGTGTCCAACAATCCAACAGAGCTCTTGTATAAGTACTACTTCCTGTCTGTGAGTCAGATTGAGAGTGAGGATGCACTGCCTTCTGCTCAGCTGCTGCAGCAGTTTAAGCCCAACCTGGAGGAGCTTGTGCAGGACATTTCATCTGGACGAATGGCTCGTCCTGGGGCCAAGAGGAAGGTGGGATACTCAACGGAATATACTGAGCTGTGTTTTCAACATTATTGTTAAACGGTATACTCTGTAGTACCTAAAAATATTTCTTAGCTTTTTCTTCACAAATATTCAGATGTGTGCAGCGCATACGGAGGACGAGGACTGTTTCCTGAGAGAGTAGCCTACAATGCCGGTGTTCCGATGAATTCAGTTCCCCAGTTTCCCCTTCAGTGCGCATGCTGACCCTATACAGCCTATGATGCTGACAAATAATGCCGACTCACAGCCTGTAAGTACGTTTTCATATTTAAAGGATTTGCCAC